AGGAACATGACACCATGACCAATGTGGAGGTACAGAGTGACTTCAACAAGAGTCAAGACACGGGTGGTGATGGTGATGATGATGGTATTGATGAGGATTTCAATGATGATGACTCAGTTTTTGATGATAACTTGGCTAGATATGATGATGTGGAAATGAATTTTGGGCTTGTGAATGACTTTTGCCCCACAAATGAGGACTTTGACTCCTTCTTTTACAATGTCCATGAAGTTGCACAATCGACAACGGAGACACGGGTAGTAGATAATGTTCAAGAAGCTACACCTCCTTCCTCTGCACAGATGGCCAGTACTCCAATAGATACGGATACAACATCAAGGATTCCTCCTCTTAATGTTGATGTTCCAACCTCTACGCCGTTTGTGAGTGATCCGCCTGTGACACATACCTCCCAGCCTCCATTGAAGAGACGAAGACATGATCCGAGGCCGGGGGTACTAATTCAGGAACATACCTCACCCATTCAGCCTGCAATCACAACATCAGCTACTACTCCAATCGTTTCAACTGCTCCTGATCATGAAGGACCAAGAACTATCTTTGAAGCATGGAGTCCTTCAGCTCCTGGAGGTTCCTCCCTCCCAAGCCCTGCTCATGACATCACTTCTGAAAAACTTGCACAGGCCTTGGCAGCACAAGAAGCAACTGGCCTTCCTCCTCACGGAAAAGGCATATCTATTGAGGAAGGTAGATCCGGGGGAGTTGAGCCTTCCAATACAGAGCTCAAGGTTGAGATTAATGTGTTGAAATAGAGGATCATTGAAAAAGATGTTTTAATAGGTAATCTTGACATTCGTCTTTCAGATGTTGAAGCTGACAACATGGCCAAATCAAAGCAAATAACTGATCTCCAAACTCACCTTGGAGCTTTGATTGTTTGCTACTATGATTTGAAGAATAAACTTTATGAAGAATTTGGTGAAAAATTCAAGTCATGTGTCGTTCCACCAGTAGCAATTGAAGGTCCTTCCAGCGCCCCTGTCCAGCCTTCTCTAAATGACAATCTTGTGGATCCTCCACCTCCCAGAACCACACGAGTTGTCGATCGATTCGAAACTGAGTCTGTCAATGCCAATCCTCGAATCACTATCAAGCACGATAAAAGAAAAGTTACTTCTGAGAATAAAGAAGGATGGTTGTTTATGAAGAACTCTGATGAGAATTGAAGTGGAGACCAACATCAACTCACAATAACTGATCTTGAAACACGAAAATTTGGCGACAAGTTTGGAAATCGTTCGGGAATTAAGATGTGCAGATATCATGCTGACTTAAAACTGTGGTTGGTGAAGAGGAACTTTGGCCCTGCTAAATACTATAAGAGTACACATGACTTTTGTTCTTGGACAAGAGTCGATCTTACAGAACTCTCAAATGCTCCATTCCACAATCCCTCCAAAGATCCTCGGGCTTTCAATTTCAAATTCATTTTGGAGCGGCAGGTCAAAGAAAAAAACAACTAACTCTCTGATTAGAAGAGATCCATAGGTGCTTGATCCCAAAACAAATGAGCCAATGAAGATAATGTTGTGGACTGCTACTAAACAGTTGAAAGAAATTCCAATTCCTCAACATTTTCAAGATGGATATCTAGATCGGATGGAATTCTGGGCTTTTGATGAGGTCACAGCCACTACAGTCATCAAGTTCTCAGACAGTGACACTGTCCTTCGACTTGTTGAAGCTAAGGATCTTCTGAGGTTCAGGGAGAGAGACATTCACACCTTGGCAAGTCATCACATAATTTGCAAATCAGACATCTTGGAGACAGCCGCTAAAGAGTACACAGGAATGGTTGCAAAGATCATTGCCAACAGGATTTGGATGAGGGCTATTGAAAGATCGGATGTGAGGCTGTTTGAGATCCCATGATAAAAGAAGACTGAGCTTATGCTAGCCACAAACCAAGGGGAGATTGATAGGTCATAGATTTGTGGTTTGGGCTAGGCAATTATCTGTATATGTCTTGGTAGGGTCTTGGTCATGTTGGAGGTATTTTGTAGCTTGTTGAAGTGTGTTTTCGGTTGAGTTGGTGTTTACGGCCGTAAACAGGTTTACGGCCATGATCCTGTTTACAGCCAGTCATTCCCTATAAATAGACGTATACATTGCTTGATAATTCTCTTTTTCTACTCATTCTTGTTGTTGATTGTTTTGATCACTGGTTTGGATCTTGTAATTGGGACCTTACAGATGTTCAGCTTTAAAGTAGATTTAACTGAAAATTTGCCCCATCTCAATCTTGCAGAATCAAATTTTGTAGCCTATTGCCTGCAGATCCAATATCTACAGTCAGATTCATCCACAGAGAATACCCTTCTAAAGAGAAGAATAAAAATCATATATATATATATATATATATATATATATATATATATATATATACACACACACACACACACCTACACAGATACACATACCTACATACAAACACACAAAAACAGATAAAAACACATGCATACACCTATACAGATACACACACCTATATACACATAAAAACACACACACACACAGATACGCATACGCACACACAAAATACATACCTCTATATGGAATTTTTTTCCTGCAATCGCCTCCAACCTTTTTCTAACCTTCTATTTTCAAGTTCACATGTTAAACATACATACAAATATGAAATCCAATCCTTTAATTCCTCAAATGATCTTTAAGTTTTAAATGTATGTAGCAAAAATTGATGTGTATGCAACAAATCAAAAGAAGAAAATAAAAAAAACGAAATCATAATGTTTTGGGTCCTTGATGGTAAACCAGAAGAGAGAGAGAGAGAGAGAGAGAGAGAGAGAGAGAGAGAAACAAAAAAGAAAGAGAGAGGTTTAGGGCATGGAATCATATCTTATCTTCTATCTGCAAAACATCAAAATCAAAATCAAAAGTGTGGTTTAGGGCTTGAAATCGAGATCAAAAGTGAATTTTAGGGCTTGAAACCGCTGCTTACCTTTGAAATTTAGGCCTTGAAATCGTAAGCTGTCTCTTATCTGCAAAATATCAAGATCGAGAGTAAGTTTCAAGGATTGAAATCGAGATATAGAATGAGGTTTGGAGCATGATATCGTCACACACGCACATATAGATATTTTTATTTCGTGCTGGTCTTCCCAATTTTATCCTACAAAAAAAGAAATCTGATAATGAAAAGGTAACAAAAAATTCACTTTCTCGTGATCTTGAATGGAGCGAGATAACAGAAACAAAGAGAAGCCTTTTTGGGTCTCTAATAGAAAAGTGTTTCCAAGTACGAAGATAAGGGGGTACCTTGGTGAATCCGTATCAGGTGGTCGCTTATTAAAGGGTAACAATCTGGCAACCCAATTCGTCGTGAAAGATAAAGGACAAATGAGAGAGGAGGAGAATGCAGGAGCAGGTTTGTGTTAAAGAAGTGAGGTTGGAGAAGTGAAGCGGTGTTGCTAGTGATGCGGAGACGGTGGATGTGACCGGTGAATAAGAGAGAGGGACTTAGAGAAAATGTGAAGGAAGTTGTATGAAGCAAGATGTATAGATCCACACGAACCATAAGGATTTCGTGGAAATTTCAATTTGTTGAGTTGTTTGAGCGGGTTTTCATCTCCACAGGCCGGAAATTAAGGGATGATGATGATAACAGGTTGTGATTGACGGATTCAAAATCTTATATTTGACTTTTCAACTGTTGACGGACTGCAATGTATAAATTGATTGTATATGATGTATTAAGGGTTGTACCTCTTAAAATTCAACATTTGAAGGTAAATGTTTATTAAGGTATTAAGATATATTATTAATTATACACAAAATTACCGTTTTAAGTCACGCCTTACAAAGGACAAGGCTCGCTACAACTCGAAAAAAAAACTTGAGGTTTGACTTTGTCGTCAAGTCACGCCTAACATTATTTAGAACCTTGGCATTGTGTATGCTTACTAAGCGTTTTTGCTTACGTGTGGTTTATTAATATTTTCCAGGGAAAGGACACAACTGGATTGCTATGAGCTTTCGCATGCACATTTAAAGATTCTTAATGTTTTTCAATTAATTTCATTTATGACATTATGAATATGTAAATTGGGTTTTTGACTTGTGCAGTTTTGTTTATGAAATGTTTTTAGTAATCTAAGAGTTTGTTTTGAAATTTTTAACGGAATAAGATTTTAATTTGTACTTTAAACAAAAACTAGGATGTTACATTTTTTGGTTGTCGTGTAATGGTGTTTAGTGCTGGAGTTGTCAGATGCTATTAAATACTCGGACACTTTTGCCCTTGGCTTCTCATTTAGGGTTGCTGCATTTGTGGTTGGTATTGCTAACATTGCTTTTGCCTTATGCTTGGAGGACGGTGGTTTCCTATGTTTTTACCTTTTAGTCATGGTTGTCAAAATCGCGATCTTGATCGTAGGATCGTACGATCCTACGATCCTAGGTATGAAAAACGATCTGGATCGTAAACGGATCGTATTTGGGGTAGGGTCGCAGGTAGGATCGTAAGATCGTAGGTAGGATCGTAGGATCGAGATCCGATCCTACCTTCTCTTGATTTTTTTTTTTTTTTTTTTTTTTGCAAATGAATTTTTTTTACCACTTTATGTCTTTTACTATTTACCAATTTACCATTTATCATTTTGTTTTGTGACTTATGACTAATATTTTGAAGTTTTTATAATTTTTTTAACAAAAAATTGAATGTTTGAAATATTTTTCAAAAATTATAACTTATTTTGTGGGATCTTAGGATCCCGATCCCGATCTTGCAAACGTAAAAACGATCCTACATAGAATCCCGATCTTGACAACCTTGCTTTTAGTAATACTACGTTGGCGTGTTGTTTAGTGGTAGTTTGGTTCCTTTTTGCTTTGGTTTTTTTGTCATAACTCTTGCTAACTTCCCGTTTTTCTTAATATACTATTGCCGTTGAAAAAAAAAATAAAGAAACTAATCAAACTACAATCATTCTTCTACCATGTTTCGCAAATGAAAATACATATTTGCTTGTCTATTGTATTATAAACTAAAGAAGTATATATTTAATTGACCCAAATAAAAACATGCAAGATCCATGATAGAATAGTCGTCGATATTTTTGTAAATATCATAAGAGACTAGAAACACAAGAAACATTATCCAATTAATTTCCTTAAAGGCTAGACTCAAGTTAGTTTATTAAGTAGCCATGACAGGTCCAGGTCCAGGTCCAGGTCCAGCGTTGACGGGTTTCTGATACACCCTGACTACCGGCGTCCCATCAGTCCCATCATCCTTAACTCTCCACCCTCTATCCTTCTTTCTCTGAGGCTTTTTATGATGCTGATGTTTATGAGAGGCAGAGGCGGCAGGAGGCAGTAGCTTCTTCCTTGCACCAGGTACTACCCCTTTACTCAACCCATTAGTCATATCAAAGGTCTCAAGATCATCCATAACCTCTTCCAGCCTCCCTTCACCACCACCACTTTCGGATCTCTCATCCACCTTCTCTACCTTCTCCTTCTCCTCCTCCTCCTCCCCTGGCGGCAGTTGATAATGGGGTAGTTTTCCGTCGATATAATCCTTCAAAATCTGGCGAGCAGCTTTGGTTTCATCAGGTAAACCACTGGAAGCCACATAGCCACGAGAGGCACAATATGACCTCAAAAGCTCAGCGGCCAATGGTGGGCGGTTTTCTGGCTCGTAGGGCTTAGGTTTCGGGAGGGTAATATTATACACAGCCTGGATGACATGTCTGGGAACTCGATCAGCCACCACCTGTACCGCTTCCCGGTGCTCCGTCATCCGGTGAATGGGTAAAACTCCGGATGCAATCATCTCGTATCTCAAGCTTGTAAACGACGGGAACACTAACCCGGGGCAATCACATAACGTAAGTTTTTCAGTGATTATTAAGGTTTGAAAATGCTTGGTTTTCCCGGGGGTAGAAGTTACACCCGTCCGTTTTGCCCCTACCAAAGCGTTGATTGTTGAGCTTTTTCCTACATTCGGGTAACCTACAAATCCCACTGTTACATGTTCCGTGGTCCCCGTCCTCATTTCCACTATTTCCTCTGCCTCTGACTGTAAACGGGACAATAACTCATCCCTCGAGTATAGTTTCGTATCTGTATCTGTATCTGAAGAAGAAGAAGAAACAGGAACAGCTGCTTTTTTCCCTTCTAATTCCGCAGTTGCAACTTTGGCCGACCAAAACACGTACAGAATGTCGTGGAGCTTCAAGTATTCAGCCCATTTTTGTCTGCAAAAAAATCAACACAACACCAACTAAAATATAGAGCTTCCATTCTTCTATTTTTGTGAGTAAGACCAAAATACCACCATCAACATATATTTATTGAAATGAAAATATGATAATTAAACAAAAATATTTGGATATAAATAAGAGTTTTGAAAATTATTTTGGTTTTTATAATTGAATCCCTTCCTCTGACAAAATATTCTGTTTTCAAAAAAACCGGTGTTACTACTAACCTCACGGGATTTGGTAAAAGATCGGCCTTGTTGATGAGAAGTAGCGTCCTTTTATGCTCATCTATTTCTCTTGCATATGCCTGCATGCATTTGACACGATTAGATGATCAAAAAAAGTATTTTATAGGATACGCCTATTCCTTGTTAACAACTGTAAGAAAAATACATATACATAACTTTTGTCCCTGTTTTCAGAAAAAAAAAATGTATATATTTGCATAATAATAGAGTTAAAGAAGTCTAAAGCTTTATCTGACAACAAAAGAACATAGACAATAATGAGGAAAAGTTGAGAAATGTTTGTTACGGAAAAAGAATACAAATTTTATTTTAAAGAAAATTTGAAACCAAGAAAACAAGTAGCTACCATATGCTTATATCATGCTTACAAAGATGCTTACAACTATCACAACACAAGCAACAAGTGATCTAAGCATAATACTACAAAGAGTAGTGACCATGTAAACCTATACATAGGTTCTACAATTAGGTATATAAGTTGTACAAATTTTAAGATGATTAAGCTAAGCTAGTATATGGACATATGAAGGCTAGAAACATGAGGTGGAAGCTAATAAAGAGATGGGAAGGAACAAGTACTTGAGATGTAAGCTTCTAAAGTGATTAAGCTAAGCTAGAAGATGACATGGAAGAGCTAGAGGCTTGAATTGAGGTGTAAGCTCCTGAGGGGATGAGATACAACAAGTCCACTAGGTGTAATCTTTTCATTAGAGTATCACTTTCTAATCCTAAAAGACAAGAATGTTAATGCACATACTTCTCCTATAAATAGCAAGCAACGTTAAGCATTATTCTTGATTCCAAAACAAGTAACACTCTCGAATGCTTAGTGGTAACTTGGAGATTTTAGAAGTATAGAGGTTCTAAACTTTGGCAAGCTAAAACAAAATGAGTACTTATGTGATTTAATGGGATGCATACATACTATAATATATTGTATGCTACTTTGTCATGCTTAATTGCTTAATGTTTTAAAAGCATATGTTTTAGTATGTTATCAAGATAGCATGAAAGTTTTATACATGTTAAGTATGGCCATAGTATAGGGTAAGGTATGAAGGGTCGTCTTGCAAACGGACCTTATAGGACAGCCTTATATGGACCCCAAGGTTATCTAACCTCTTTGCAGTTTGGCCTACTTACTTGTAGCTATGAAAGAATGCATTGATTGTTATTTTTGCATTAAATGTTTATGCTAAATAATCAGAACCTAACTACTCACTAAGCTTAAAGCTTACATATTCATATATGTATCTCAGGAGGAAAAGAGTAAGGACCAAAAGAAGTAGTTACTATTTTAACAGAAGTTTTAGAAGTATTATAAGTCGTCAAAATAGATTTTTTTATACACTTCTGCTTATGTATTTTTGTTAAACCATAATGAAATAAAAAAGTAATATCCTAGTAAAATAAATTGTACCAAGAATAAATGACGGTACCCGCAGGATCGGGGCGTCACAACAACCGTATCTAAAACTTAAAAAATTTATAAAAAATAGACTACGGCTTTGACAACATTATCAATGGAAGAAGAAGAAGATCAAGGTTCCTTTTCACAATAACAAATATTTGTCATCCTTTAACAATATACTTCCTCAACTAATAAACCGATTACGTTTATACCAACAATTCCACCTTTACAAGTAAATCCTAATTTAATTTAAATAATATTATCCAGGATATATCCCAAGTTGTGTATATTATTATGTATCTATCAACTCACCAAATCATAATTGATTTATATATTGGTCAAATCAAAAAACTGAATTGGAAGGTCTGTTTACAAACTAAAATAGTATATACAAGTAAATGAACTTTTTTAAAGCTCAAGGACCATAAAATATGGCTTTCATAAGTGGTTACCAATTATAACACAGAACACCTGCTCTGCCCAAATTATTATATTAAATTGATATGAGATCCAACTGACAAAGTTCATTCATATATGTATGTAAAATCAAATAACCTTCACGAAAATATCAAATAACTATATGAGAAGTGAACATGTATGATTCAGAACCCTTTCTGTAAGAAATGCAACTTTTGCTGGTTATAATTCAAATAAGTACGAAGAGAGTGTACACATGCCCTCACATACACAACCCTGATGACATTATGGTTCACTTATTTTGATTTTTTCATGTTATTTTAGAAAACAAGGCATCAACATTCAAGTTCAACAAGAAAAGATCACAAATTGAACTGAAATCAAACAATGAATCCTAACCCGTTTGATCTAACAAGCAAAAAAAAAACAAAAAGAACAAAGCTACACACCCATAAACAATCCAGATTTTGCAAAGATATGAACCAAATTTCAGATTATAGAAGTAGCTACAAGAACCTTGAAAAAAAGTAAATTTCCAAATTAGGTTTAAAACAGTAAATATACCTCTAGGTCGGGACAACGATAGAACAGTGGATCTCGCGCATCTACAACCATGACAAGCTGGAGAGTTGTTGCCAGATTAATTATTTTTTGAACAAAACAAATATTTAAAGTATATGCATGCGACATAAGAATTGAGTTTTCAAATACTAGAAAGCCACGGTATGTGAAGAAACATACCAGATCACTACGTTCAACAACCCTCCAAAGTTGTCTCCATATATCAAGATTCTTCTCAAATGGTGTAAGAACAAGACTATCATTTTCCTCAAGCCTATAACATAAGAGTTGAGTTTTCAAATCCATAAGATTTCTTACACACAACAAAACATAACATAACAAGCAAAGCAATTGTTCAAAAAGTTATTTAATTTGGGAGAAATATACAAACCTTGCAAGGCTACGCCGCCAAACTAAAAAGGCACGCCTTTCATTGGCATCAAGCTCTTCAACAGACATTTTGGCATTCCATGCTGGCCTGAGAGAGAGAGAGAGAGAGAGAGAGAGAGAGAGAGGTGATGAAGAAAGGGTTAGGACTTAGGAATTGGAATAAATCTTCAAAATGAAAATACAACATTTACAATAAAAAACTTTTAATAAATACCTCCGTGGAACGCTAAGACTGCTCGCATGCAATGCCTCCTCTTTTATTTGAAGCTTTCTCCTTTGCTCGGTAGTCAATATCTCACTGGTGCTAGAACTTGACTCTCTATGTTATACACACACAGCCATCAATTAATTGAGCATCCACATCGTATATACATAAATAGAAGAACAACATCATGAAAACAAATAAACAAAAGGGAACCCGAAAATAAACTAAGTAGGTGTTCAGGTATGATACCAAATCACGAAAACCATAAGCTTGCACAGGTCTAAATACTACCACAACCATAAAAAAAATGAAATTAAACACAGCAAAATCCAAAGTAAAAGACCAAACTATGCCCTTTCTAGAGATCATCTGGAACTAAAACAGATAGATAAGGGCTTCTTGAATGAGAAACGAACAATAAAAAAATGAAATAAGATGGTTAAAGGAGCTAACGACATACAAATCAATAAGGGTATTCACGGCGGTGGGGTTGTCGGCGGAGAAGAGACGCACGGCTTCATCCGCTTGTTGGATTACAGCGTCGATATCGTTGACGTCGGTGATGGATTCAAGAACCTTCTTGTGTTGTTTGTAATAAACCTGACCCTTTTCCTTGGATTCTTGGATCATATGGTTGTGATGCTTGACTAGGGCTCTTCCCAAAGCCGATTTATCGCTTTTCCCCATTGAAGCCCGATGATGGTGGTTCTCAAGTTCCTTCACTAGGTTTTATCTGTATGGGTATGTATGTGCCCCAATTGTCGGCTACGTGAATATGCAGAATAGCAAAGCAACAGAGAGGTCGAGAAGTAGGAATTGGCAGCCCAGGAAGCAGCCAGACCTAAAATGTTGACAGAAAATCGATGAACCGACTGTTTTAAAGTATATTGTTATGTTTACACGTTTTCAAAACGGAATGTGAGGATGTATTTATTTAAAAAAAATATATGCATATCTAATAATTTAGAAAATTTAAATTTATAAAAAAGAAAATAAAATATTAATTATTAAATTTGAAGTGTTTATTTATCTTTCAAATTCAAACTGATAATTTAAATAAACAAACAATTAAAAAATTGGATTCAATTTAGAAATTTAGAAATTATAAGGAAAATTGCATTAATGAATATTGAAAATATATTTATTATTACATTTAAGTATTATATGAAATTTAATAAAATGGAAAAAGTCACAAAATGACACATGGATATAATTAATCTAAATTTACCACAAAATAAATGTGACATAATGCATAAGAAGATGATAAGTGGCAAAATTATTTATTACAGAGGATATTTTTTTGATTTGTATACATTTGATCATCGAGTTTTTTTTTTTCCACATTTGATTATTTAACTTGTTTTTTTTTTGTCCACCTTCAGTCTTTATAACCAGATACTCTAGGTTAAGCTGAAAAAAATGACTTAATAGGGTAATATAACTATCAGTTTGTACACATTTAGTTCTTAATGTTTTGTACACATTTAGTCCTTATGATCGATTTCTTTAGATTTTGCTCATAACATCCTACATGGGACAATCCTTAATGAGGTGTTCTCATACGTGGCTCATCCTTCACTTATATCAGTAACATAATTCACGAATCGGTCAAATAATGTTGGTGCCCTAGTTTTCTCCAAGCAGAATATGTCTTCGGCTTCGGTTTCATCTATCTCCATAGCAGACAATAGGATTCTTTGTGATTACTTCCTCCCAACTTGAATTTGCACTTCCAAGACAAATGAATTAAGAAAGATGCTAAAAGAATTTGCACTTCTAATACAAAAAGAACATCATGACAAAAAGTTTCATTTATCTCCATACCAGACAACGAATCTCGTACGATGTCGTGAACAAAAAGAACACCATGACAAAAAGTTTCCTCCCAACTCAATTTTGCACTTCCAAGACAAAGAATCTCGTTGTCTGCTATGGAGATAGATGAAACCGAAGCCGAAGACATCTTTTGCATGGAGAAAACTAGGGCACCAACATTATTTGACCGATTCGTGAATTAGGTCACTGATATAAGTGAAAGACAAGTCACATATAAGAACAATTCATTAATGCCCACGTACGATGTCGTGAACAAAATCTGAAGAAACGGGTCGTTGGGACTAAATATGTACAAAAAACATTAAGGACTAAATGTGTGCAAACTGGAAAATATATTACCCTATTAAGTCATTTTTTCGGCTTAACCTAATGTAATCAGTTATAAGGATTGAATGTGGACAAAAAAAAGGTTAAATCATCAAATGTGGACAAAAAAACTCAGAGACCAAATATATACAATTCAAAAAATATATTATCCTTTTAAGTCGTTATCCCTTTCAATATTTAAAATAGAGAAAAATACAAATCTAGTCATTTTGTTAATGACTTTTTAGTTTTATCCAAAAATTAAAACTTAGCTCATAATAACCACTGAAACCGTAGGTATTTAGGGAAACATACGGTCAAAGGTCGTTGACTAAAGTCAATGCTAAAAAAATCCGAAAATTAACTACTCTTTCGTAGCAATGGGCTACAGATTCAAGGGTCATTTACTTTTTCAGGGCCCGACCCCGTCATCCGAGAATATATAAAGTTGTAAATTTCATTTAGGTCATTTTTTGTGCTTTTGAAGTTAGGAAAAACTCTCTCAATGGAGACTCCAAACAACAACCAGGTATGTCTCTAATTCTTCGAGTCATTTTTTATTTTTATTGTTTAAGAGAAGATATAATACCTCTGGTTTGATTTTTGTTGGAAAAAAAAAGAAACCGTAGGCTTCATAAGAAACCTATGGTGTACAAGCAGGTAATGCACGTTTTGTGCATCGACTGCTTGTATACTTTAGGTTTCTTAAGAAGTCTACAATTTTTGCATTTTTTTTGCTTGTTGCTTGTACACTATGAAATATAAGAGCATCATGTTAATTTTTGTTCCAAAAAATCCCCAAAAGGGGGGGGGGGGAACCGTAGGTTTCATATGAACCTACGGTGTACAAGTAGGTAATACACATTTTGTGCATTGACTGCTTGTACACCGTAGGTTCATATGAAACCTACGGTTTTGGTAATTTTTAATTTCAATGTATGTTATATAACTTGTAGAAGTTGCTACTGTCATTTAAAATATTTTCTACAACTATAAATTATGCCAATTAGAAAATAAGTTTAATAGAAAATTGAGTATGTTATAATTTTGTTCATTGCGGTATATTCATTTGTGCTTATGTTTGTTTTTCCTTTTGACCAATGTGAAAAAGTAGTTATTTGTAGGAAATTGTGGTGTTATTTTATGTTTTGCTTTGTGATAATATATATTTTTTCTCAATACACCATTGAACTTTGAAAAATGTATCAATTATAACAATGTAATCTACATACAAAGCAATGTGCATGCGTGTAATGGGTAGATATTTTAAAGTATAATGTCTTGATAAGAAAGCATGGTATATTTCTATTTTTTTCGCTTTGTGATAAAATATGTTTTTTCTCATTACACCATTGAACTTTGAAAAATCAACCAATTATAGTAACTCAATCTACATACAAAGCAATGTGCATGCGTGTGATGGATAGATATTTCAAAGTATAATGTCTTGATACGAAAGCATAGTAGATTGTTATTTTTTGCTTTTTTTATAAAATATGTTTTTTCTCATTACACCATTGAACTTTGAAAAATCAACCAGTTATAGCAATTTAATCTTCATACAAAGCAAAATGGCTAGATATTTCAAAGTATAATGTCTTGATAAGAAAGCATAGTAGATTATTATTTTTCGCTTTGTGATAAAATATGTTTTTTCTCATTACACCATTGTAAAGTACAATGTTGTTTTATGCATTTATCCCTTTTAATTATATAGTATAGAAAAGGCAATCAAATTGATTAAGTAATTATTATGTGTCTTTTGCTATTTTATACAAATTAACATATAGGATTCGATTAAGTATTATTATGTGTGTTTAGCTTTTACTACTTTGTTTGGTTTATAATATGTTTTACTGATATTTAGTGATTGTTTAATTTTCAACATGCAAACAAACAAATGATGGCAAGTTGTGACATCCTATTTTCACGGCCAGAAAAGACCGATTTCGTTTATGCTTTTTAAAATAAAATCAGAGTAATCCTTTGATTAAAAGAGTTGTGGAATTTGTTCCCAAAACAAAATATGATAAAATAAAATTTATCAAATCATTTCTTAGAGAAATGTATTTTCATATATAACAAAACTCGGGATGTCATGTTCCGATACAGACCAAAAGCATAAACGGCACATTATAAGCCTTACAACAGTTATATACAACTACATGCCTATAAACAAAATAGCTTGATGATTCATCCAACTTATGCTCTCGCGCCACTACCTGTAATACAAATAAAACTGAGTGGGTCAGGCTTGGGAGCCTGGTGAGCATATAGGGTTTTCAACCCACAATAAATAATTATATTATTTAATCATCAAACAATCAACCCAATTACCCACCCCCATTATCTCCTTTTATTTCTTAGAGATTTACCCTAAGAATCAGCTATTCCTCGTTCATTTATTCCTAAGGATTATCCTAAGGAATCGACACGAAATCCATCGTTGCCAGGGTTTTCTCAACAGGCACTAAATCCATAGTTACCAAGGTTTTCTCAACAGACACTAAATTCATAGTTACCAAGGTTTTCTCAACAGACACTAAATCCATAGTTACCAAGGTTTTTAGAGTACACCGGTGAACATCAAGTCCACAACACCTACAAGTTGCGAGCTTGCTAGTGTTCCACTGGACTGTCTAGAATCGTCCGTGGTTGTCATCCTTACTCTGCTGAATGACGAGGCCAACGTTTGGGTAAAGGTTTCACTCATTTTTCACCTGTCACCCTCATCTCATGATCTATATCATCTTTCGTCTCATCCTCAAACTCATCTTTCCTCACACACCAACTATTTCATCTACCCATGTTCTACCCAACATATTTGTAGATAAAATTTACATATATAGTTTAAATCATTTAAAAACCCGTATAAAACATTCATACAACATCCATCTCAAGTAAACAAACAATATTATATATATATATATATATATATATATATATATATATATATATATATATATATATATACATAGCACGTATTTTATAACAAATACTTCATATCTATGTGTAAGGTGAAAGTAACTACACATTTACTCATAAACTCTTTAACATATATTTAACTCTTTAGCATATATTTAAATCTTTAACAGACTCTTACCCCACCACGTCAATCCTCTCAACGAGACTATCCATACCCTCGGACCTTAAATTATAACTCTTACTCCCGAATCTAATCCATGTTCTCGAATCCATGATTGTGTCCATTTCATACTCTCGGATAAGGGACATCTGGTCTATGTCTAGATCCATACTTCCGGATTAATGACAACTGACTAGGTCTTAATCCATACTACCGGATTCTAGAACTAACCTTTCGACCTGATCCATACTCCCGAATCTAAAACTAACCTCTCGACCTGATCCATACTCCCGGATAAGGGACAATTGGTCTATGTCTAAATCCATACTCCCGGATTAATAACAAATAACTATGTCCTATCCATACTCTCGGACTAAGGACAACTGACTAAGTCTAATCCATACTCCCGGATTAATAACAAATAACTATGTCCTATCCATACTCTCGGACTAATAACAAATGACTATGTCCTATCCATACTCTCGGACTAAGGACAACTGACTAAGTCTAATCCATACTCCCGGATTAATGACAAATAACTATGTCCTATCCATACTCTCGGACTAAGGACAACTGCCTAAGTCTAATCCATACTCCCGGATTAATAACAAATAACTATGTCCTATCCATACTCTCGGACTAAAGACAACTGACTATGTCTTAATCCA